GTAATCAGACTCTAAATAAAATGATAAAGCAGATTCATTAGAGTGTCTATAACTTTTTATATTTTGATCACAGTTTGCATTTGTACCATTGCTCGAACTACTTTCACTTTGTTCTTCATCTTCAACACTATTGTTATTACAATTATCATCTTTAACATTCTTCTTTTCGCCTAATCTTGCAGCTATTTTTATCACTTCATAATTACAATCATTGGATTTTAATAATTCATGTGCTCGTCTATACAACACATATCTAGAAGCATTTTTCAGAGATAACTTTTTTCGACCTGAATTAGCATGTTTTCCTCCTCTCTTTTTAGCACGACCACGCTTTCCATTATTTGTTTTACTTTTTGATCTTTTTCTTGGCATTATTATCTAATTATAAATGAGATAAAAGAAAATCTGAGATTTATTGACTATGAAAGATGAAATATAATAAATAATTAAATAGATCTTAATAGATAAAAGTAGATGTTAGAGTCATTAAAAAGTATAATAACTATTCCACCTTGGTTATTAACTTTTATAAGTTTAATAACTATTCCACCTTTGTTATTAGCTTATTTACTTATAAATAATTAAATTTGTTCGAAAAATATAATATAATTTTATGAAAATATTCAAGAAATTTATACGCAATCAAGTAGATAAACTTATCATTGTTATAATAAAACAAAATTAATAAATAAAGAGGACAAGCCTGTATTGAAAACAAAATTTAAAGAATGTTTATTTAACTTACTTTGATTTTACAATCGAGGACTATATTTACACTAACTTTGGTTTATGCTAATATACTTCTTTTTTATAAATTATGCTGTATTAAATTATAAATAATGCAGCGTTATCAGAGTAAGTCTTTACATGCTTCACTATTTGTGGAGCTCCACTCTGTTCTGCCTAGCAATATTACTCACTTTCTCACAGCAAGATGCAGTTTAAATGTTATTTTTTTAAAGTTTCGACTGTTCAAAGTGGAGCTGTTATTCGACCTCTAATGGGTATACTGCAGTATTTAAAAGCATCATTAGCTATTTTTAAAATTTTTTTTTTTAAAATAACAATATGTAAGTAAACCACAGCTATTTTGAAATTTTTTCTTTAAATAATAATATGTAAGTAAACCATAACAATTAAAGTACACTAAATTTTTTTTTTAAATTTGCGAAAGATAAAAATAATTGTTACATGTTTTAATATACAGAAAAAAGTGTAACTATAAATAGAATTAACATATTTTATATGTTTAGTTTTAAAAATTGATTTATAGTGAATTAAACTAAACTAAAAGATGATATATTATGCATAAGATTGGAAAACACATTGCCAATATATATTAATTAAATGACATATTAGTAAATGTAAAGTAAATGAAAATAGGAGCTGCTTTTATAACTGGATCTGTCTTTGAATTTAATAAAAAAATTTCAAGGAGAGTATACGCGTTTTTTAAAAAATAAGAGAGTTTTTGAGATCGTTTACTGTACTAAATATAATAAACATTAATTTAAATGCATTTATTTTTGTAAATAACCAGTGTATAAGATAGTAACATAACGTTACTGAAATTGGTATGGATGAAGAAACATAATCTTTATACTTGTTGTTTGCATTACTATTAATTAAATATTTTGTGACAAATCAGTTTAACAAAATCTGATTTTAATAGTATTTTTGGCCAGTTATAATAAATTAAGCTTTGATTTATAAATAAATTTATCTTTAAATTTCATAAGAATGAAAAAAATGAGTATAATTAATAAAATAAAAAATTTTCATTCTTTGTTTGTGATGTATAATATAAAAAAAATTTTTTTTTTTTCAAAAATTTTTTATTGGTCTTTTTGCATTCTTCAGTAAAAAATAATCACATGGGACTTCGTCCCCGTTATTCTAGGCCCTTTTATCTTTAATTTGAGATATCCAGCGTTTCGTTATCTTTATCCTACCAAGAGACTATTGAAAACGAACACAGCGCTCGGCAATACCGCTCTGTGCGCCTCTTCACATAAAACTTGGGCTGATGAAACAGTTTGTCAAAGCGTTGGATAAAGGTGAAAAATGTTTTAAGTACTTAGTGGAGCGATTCCCTCGATTAAGTGAAGCGAAATTGAAGGAAGGGATATTCGATGGACCTCAAATCCGTAAAATGTTTAACGATGAAAAATTCATTGATACCATAAATGACTTAGAGAAAGCTGCATGGCTCAGTTTCCGAGATGTTTGTCAGAACTTTTTGGGAAATAACAAAAGCGATGACTACAAAACTATTGTAGCAAATATGATAAGAAACTATAAGTGTTTGGGATGTTTGATGAGTCACAAAGTTCATTTCATGGATGCTCATCTTAGCTATTTCCCTGATAACTTGGGAGATTACAGCGAAGAATAAGGGGAACGGTTCCATCAAGATCTGAAAGAGGCTGAAACTAAATGGCAAGGGAAATGGGACGTAAATATGTTGGCGGACTACTGTTGGTTACTGAAGAGAGATCGAGTGTCAGATGATGAAGAAGATGACGAGAGCGCAAAAAGAATTAGAAATCCGCTACACAGATCCTTCGAAAGTAAAAGAAAGCGTTATAGAAGAAAAAACAATAGCTAAGTCTCATATTTATAGTTCTGCAGAGATTTAGTTCTTTTTTTATCTTGATGGGGCGACCTTTATCTTGTCCTTGAGGAGACAGACGAACCTTGTATTCTGGTTCAACGATCACCAAAATATATTACCGCAATAGTTTAGGTAAAGGAAATCATATTTTCGTATTTTTGCAGTGATTAAATTGATTCTCCACATCACCACTTATAATGACCTTGAAATGACCTTCGGATCATATTAAAAAAATTAAAAAAATACAGTTTTGGACGTAAAATTTTTCGTTCTTTCAGAATCTGCAGTCAAAAATGCATTATTTCTAAAATAAACACGTTTGACCTTCAAATGACCTTGACCTTTACTACTTGAGGTCAAACCGACCTCGAATTATTATTCAGCGACCCAAAAAACATAAAGATTAGTCATTTTTTTCAACTCAAATGTGTGTGTTCAATTTTGACCTTCAAATGCCCTTGACCCAGACGTCATGGGGTCAATTGGACCGCGGATTCATAATCAGCGGATCAAATTACATGGAAATATATGTGTCGCGTTCAAATATCAGAGACTTGGTTTTTTTTGTGTGCCTGTGTTATCTAAATCAGTTTCCTTAAGCAGAAAAGACTCGTTTGTCACTCTATTTAGTGCAGAGAAATTCATTTTATAATAAATAATAATTAGATAACTTTAAATCATTAAACTTCATTTAATTCATTTGTACATAAAACTAACTTAACTAAATCAATGTAAATCTTACAATTAAATTCTAGAAACTAAAAACTGCAAATTTTCGAAACACCAACTCATAAATATTAATCTAGCTCGTCCGCGAGTCTGCTATAAAAAAAGAGAGAGAAAAGTCGCAAGATAAAGAACATTCTACCTGACATTCATTGCTGTTCTGGCTGGTGAACGGTGGTTACAGGTGAAGCAACGTTGTTGCAGAGTACCTCGTGATTCTTTTTTGCGATGATGTTGGGGGCAAGTACTTCACAAGGTATTGGCTTCACCTCCAGACGAACTTTGTCTGGCCGTTATCCTCTCGTCTTTACGTATATAACGAGCATATTACTCAAAAAGTACACGTGTCACCGAATAAATTCGAAAGTCTGAAATAGTAATCTCTTTTCTTTAATATTTTGTGCTATTATATTGGAAGTGATTTCATTTTGAAGTTTTTAATTGCTATTTATAGTAATGCAATATTAATTAATGGCTTCAGTTAAAAGTTCATTAAGTATTTTAATATTTTCTATATCAGTAGCTGATTTAAGAGAAATATTACGTATTACGCACTTCTTAATGAAAAGAGTATATTTTTCCAGTCAACTTTCGTGAATTTATTTACAGCTTTGAGTACTTATGAGTGTAGAGTAATTTATTTATCAATTTAATAAACAAAAAAGTAGAGTCACGTGGTTTTGGCAGCCATATTTGATCAGATGTGAAGTTTCGGGAATAAGGCCACTCGAATTTCAAAAGTAGACTTCAAGATCTTTCGATGGACCACCTATAAAAGTTTGATAAACAAAATAATTTTTGGCTTGTAGGGGGTCATTTCTTAAGAAAGAGTGATTCATATATACTATATATGCATATGAGTCTATATATGAGTGTATATATATATAATACATAAATAAATATACATAAATAAATTTTAATATGTATTTAAAATGCATTTCAGATAGGGGAAGAGGGGCTCTTGCTTGTGATTTAAGAGTGCTGATGTGATAGCTTATGCACTTCAGATCACTGATCTGAGGCCCTCATTGCTCTGAGGCTTCTCTGACCTATGGTCTCTCTAGTTTATCTATTTATATGTAATTACCACCGAACATAAATTTGGTTACTCAGAAACTGGAAAACAGCATTACGCAATTGAAGAAAATATTTTGAACCTTTCTTGTCCTGTTGATTATAATAAAAATATAGGAGGAATAGATAACATTAACTATCAACTAGAATTGAGAATTGAGTGAATTAGTTAGAAGATCGACGAGATAGTCAATTATTCTTTCTTTTGGTTGATCTTGCCTCTTGTGATTTTTTAAGTGGTTTGATATAAATGGCTTTACCCCATATGTGACAGAAGTTTGTGTGCCGGCTATATAAGGTCTTTGTTGAATAGTTCATAAATAATCAATATCTAATTAATCTATAATTAACTCATATCTTCAATCACTTACACATATCTATACCTCCTTAGAATTTTTAAAACTCTGAGCTTATCTCTATGTTATAATGTTATAGCAATTTCAAACTCAGTACTAGTATTATGCCACAGAAATACCTTTTTTCTTTTTAGTCTTACAATGTTATAGGCTACTCATTCTTGATCCTAATTATTATAAATTAACATATTCCCTAATTCAATACATGACGTTAAAATTTCTAATATTACCTTTTTCGCTGATGCAGTGCAACAAGACTCACAAAGAGTTGAAAAAGATCTATGATAACGATACGTTGAATCTGAATTTACTAATTGATTATTTAATTGATTTTGTACAATCGATTGATTACTGTTGCCATTAGTGATAATGATATTTCCTGTTCCACTTAATTCTATACTTTTAGAGGTTGTACATTCATTGATTTCTGGAGGAAAAAATTTTTGACGTAGATTATCTGTAAATAAATCAATTAGTTTTGGAACCAATTATTATACATATTTTTATAAAATATTTTATACGGCTTTTCACGAATAATCAGTAAAATAAAAAAAAATATTTGAAAAAAAATTAGGTTATTAAATGCTGAATAGGTCATAATTGAAATAAACAAATTGTTTTGTGTACGCTAGAAAATTTTTTTTATATATCTACATATTACTCTACACATTACATCTCTCACGCTCAGTCACAGCGTGGCTTGGGATCATTCTCTTATTCTCTTTCATAAAGGAGATATTGTAGTTCTCTCTCCGTGGAGGAAGAGGGCTATACTTGCTTAAATCTTATAAAATCTAAGAGGGAAAGAGAGAGGCTATGCTTACCGCCCCCCCTCTTATCTTAAGTTAACTATGTCTATTACAGATGCGTATCACAGTAGGTTTCAGGGTGATTAATGAAATCTGTTATGTGTATCGTAATAGACACACATGTTGTTAGTGTCTTTCTAGCAAACGAGCGACACTATAACTCGATGTGGTGTATTGCTGCATACATGAGACCCCGCTCACTTAACGCTCGCTAGTTAATTATTAGATATATTTTAATCGTATAAGTATATTTATGGAAAAAAATCAAATAACTGGAATATATATATATATGTGTATATAGGGGTTCTTTATAAAGTTCGAATTAAAGTATACTCGGAAATTTTAGCAGCTTGGAACCGAGCTTGTCGAAATTTCGTAGACGTACGGTTTATCCCGTACACATGCATATCATGTTATCCGGGGACGTGCTTAATTTCTAAATACTTAGTCAGCGTAGGCTATAACGCTATGTAATTGAGAAGATCGCGTTACTCTGGCGCGACCGGTATTTATGATAATAAACGGAAAGAGTCGCGAAAGCAAAATACCGAAGCCAATATAATTAAAAATTTAACGAACGCATACACGTCTACATATATACATATGTATATATATATATATGTAGTTATACACAAAATGAATATGCGGAAATTTGCCAAATGGTAATTAATCCAAATATTGTTATTATTATAGAAAAAAAATAAGTAAGAAGAAAATAAGTTTACACTAATGAACCTTGAGTTACTTACTTGTTAGAAGTTTATTTATTATTATTATTAGTAGGTTTGTCCTCGAAATTATATAGTTATAATTTTATATATATCGTCAAAATATTCGTCCAGTAATATATAATCCTTTTATTATTTTGCTGGTCCTTATAATAACTGTTATCCTTGTACAAGTAATTATGCTGTAATCGATCTGAACGTACGCCGTATATATATATATATATATATATATATATATATATATATATATATATATATATATGTGTGTGTGTATTTTATAATAATGCGTTAATAGCTGATAGCAAGGATATGAATATACTGATTTGGTGAATTTAACAATAAATAAAAACTGATTGACAAAAAGAAATCTGAGACCAAAACTATACGAAAGCAACTGAATAAAAACTGTATGTAAATCTGAACGGAATACGTTTGCTCGGGATTAGCTCTGGCGCTAGACTGCCTTTGTCAGGCGTGGGCGATACAGTCATCCCACGCGAGAGTGTTACTACCGTCATCGCATTACTACGTGGCCGCCGAACTGCTTACGCGTGCTTAACGTGTACAATTAATACGCGCGGCGCGATTATACATAATACTAGTACATATAAGTTTTACATTACATATATCAGGATGAATTTTTTAAAAGTTCTCACTTAACATCCTCCCCCCCTTAGAATGATTACCGTCCTCGGGAATTATATGTCCAATGAGAATGAGTAAACATGAATGATTAAGGATGACGAAAAAGGGTAATATATGTACTATTAAAATGGTTACTATTCGTGTTATATCATTATTTATTATTATATATTTTTTTTTATAAAAGTAGGAGAAAAGAAGAGGGAAAAAAAAAAAGGTTTCTAAGGATTGGTGAGGTTAAAGGTTGGTAGCGTTTGTGGGCATCGCTGCCAACTCGTCCAACATGTCTTCTAGGATGGTGGTGAATACTAAGTTTTATCCCACGGATTCTTCGGACTATTCCGGTTCCACCCAGTCCTCATATTGACATTGTCGTAAGTGGAGGTGGAAGCTACGTTTTTCGAAGGACTTGTCACATAGCCAGTGTTTCTTCCAATCTTTACCTATTTGCTTGTTGCATAGGTTTTTATGGGCTTCGAAATCTCTCTTCATGACAATGTCTTTGCATTGTGCATGAAAGACATGCTTATTCTTGTTGTGTAGAGATAGGGGTACAATTCTCTCCAGTTCGTTCAATTTGGCCCCATATACCCTATGGTATAGTCGGACAGCCTCAGCAGCAGAACCTTTGGACACAAATCGCACACTGCAAGTCAAATGGAAGTGCGAACCATATGTCGTGATAGGTGTGAAATACATATAGTCCAGAGTCCCACAGAGTGCCAAGTCTTTGAATACTTGTTCCCGCGAACAGTACATCGGGATTCGGAGGAATACCCGATGTCCAAATTCGTTTTCTCTGATCACAACTCTGGAAGAGTTGGGATTTAAGGACTGGATACTATCATTCAGGTAGTTGTTTAAGGCCGAATGATAGTCCGCGTGGGCGCAGTAGCGTAAACGTAGGGACTTGCGTCCATCCAGTCGAGACTCTAATTGATGCAGTTGTTCGATAGGCCCATAAGTTAGAAGGTTTTGGACTACATCAGATTCCGCGGTAGTCCAAGGGAAAGTAATCACTAAGGTGTTTTCTTCTTGATGGTAGGGTGCTACTGTGACCCCTTTTATTAAGGCGTTCATCCTATTGGGCGTTGACATAATTATATCCTGTAAGATTATGTCCATTTATAAGAAAATAATAGTAGGATAAGGATATACAAGGGAGACATTAGTAAGAGTTTTAAAGAGAGTATATGAATGAATGAAGTTGTGAGTGATAAAGACAGTCTGTGAAGTCCGATTATATGATTATTGTCCTTTTACCCATTTTACATACTAAAATTTAAGGTAAAATAATGCAGGTTTTGATAAAGGAAGATGTTCGTAACATTACGAAGCTATATAAAATTGCATATATAAAATAGTTCATGTAAGAGAGGAGTAAAAAAATAAAAAAAATAAAAAAAAATATTTTTCTTATGACGCAGCTGTATCTTCTAAGTATTTTTCATCTTCCGAGTTGACCTCAGTCTCGATTTCTCCGTCAGTCATTTCCAAGTCTTGTTCGATGACCGTTCTTTGTGGACGGTCATATTCTGGATTTGGTTTCTTCCTGTATATTTCTGTAACGTCCATTCCATGTCCTATTCGTGATTCGGTTAGTGTATTAGAGGAGCCGGCGGCTCCGGTGTTTGTTATTTGTACCAATAGATTTGGCATGTATCTAGGTTTCTCCGACAGTCGTTCGAGTGAGTTTGATGTACGCCGTTTTTTGCTAACTTCACGTCGTTCGTTGTTAAATGCAGAATTATTTTTGCTCAACCGCAATGTCCTCTGGTATTGCCACTTGCAAGTATAGAAGTGTTCATCTTCTCGTTTTGCATCGATATAATCGTCACATAACCAGCATAATATGGTTCGCTTCGCTTCTTGTTCACGGTCTTTAGCGTATTGCGCACCATACTCAGGGTTACTGAGTTGTAAAGCTCTGGTTGCATCCTTCTCATCACGGTATTGTACATACCCCAATGAAAGTCGTCCTCTATGGTCCCTTACTACTCTATGATATAGTAGTCGTCCAAATTCGGCAAAATGTTCGAAAAATTCAATTTCCCTGTTTTGTTCCGGGACCGTCCAAGGTAGTCTACAAAATAATCTTTTTTTATTAACGGGTGTCTTTGGTTTTATTATTATACTTTTGTATATTCGAGATCTTAAGTCAGCTGAATATACGGCTTCCTTTCGGGAGGTTCCGGTAATGCCTTGCGCCAGCTTTCTAGCCTTTTCAGCCTGTTTGGTGTCTTGGTATCGGCACAGTGCCAATTTCGTATCCGGTCCTGATGTGCTTTCTATGGAGTGGAATTCAATAATCGTCCCTACAGATTCCAATTTTATGAGTAAGTCGCTCAATTTTATGTCGGTCGAATACAAGAATCTAATGCCTCTCGGATCTTCAATACTCGAAGCAAGCTGAATATTCATTATGTCCAAGAAGAAAGCTAGGGCTAAAAAAAAATATACGGGTCCGTCCATACTGTTTCCATACTCGAGATAAAGTCCGGTACTAATGGTCCCAATTGTGTTAGTCAGTAGTTTAGGTTGTTACAGGGCTTTGTTTCGGAAGTCCCGATTTCATCTCTTGGTTGGTTAAGGGAAAGGGAATTTCGGGGTCGGGTAACATATTAGTAAGATTATGTCGAGTGACGTTAGTTGTTTCTGGCGTATTGGTGAAGGTAATCACAGTAGCAGGGTTCTGTTTTATGTCCAATTCGTTAGTTTTCTTAGTATAGTTAGTACACGTTTCCCATTTCTTTGTTTTCCAACATTTATAAGTTAGCAAGAGTGTAGTAGTTAAGAATATAACTCCATTCACTCCCAACCCTCCGTAGATTAGATTCGAATGATAGGATGTAACTCGTTTATGCTCGCCTACTATTTCCATTTTGTCCATTATTTCGGTTAGTGTTCTTTCTTTATTTTTCCAGCCGACCAATTGAGGTGCCCATTTTATCGTTTCTTGTCGTTTAGGTGATGTTATTTGGAGATTATCGGGGGATTCATTTAGTATAGGGTAAAGGAAGGATACATTGAGGGTGAGGTCCGGTTTGTAGATATATTGCTCTGTAGCACTTCTATCTATTTCGGTCATTAACGTTGCGTCAGTTGTGTGTCCTATACACCCTGGCGCTAATCTAATAATACCAATGCCCTCCATACGGACAGGTTCATCTTTATGACCCGGACAACTGATACGTAAGTTGTCGGGTTTTATCGCTGAAAACAACCAGGATCCGTCAGATTCGATGTAATTCCACTGCGTCGTTCGTTGTGTCCTAATT